CTCTGTGCCAATCCCTCACAAATACCAATATTGCAATATTTCATTTGACTATATTGGTACTGGTTTAAAATACAGCTGAATTAATCTGAAACAAGAAAAATATTTATAAGTAAACATCCATTGCTTTTAGATAACTATTAAACCTCTGGCCACTAGGTGGCAGCACACCACCACACAAGCCCATTGTTTTTCTGCTCTGCACCAGCTCCAACAGAGCAGCATAATCCTGTGAGGTTTTCTAGAGCCCTATTAATATAAATTCCCAATATATAATCTGTGTTAGCAGTAAATATTGTAATAAATCTTATCTTGACACATGTAGTGTGATAATTATCGTATCGCTAAATGCTCACTATTAACACCACTAATAATTACCAAAGTGAACATAAAGAAACATCTGAAATGTACGCCTCTGTAATGAATCTCTACAATAGATTAGGTTTACGTTTTGAATTGATTTACTGAAATAACTTTTTAGCAGTTTTCCAGTTTTATTGAGATGAATGTGTATTTCCTTCTTCGTGTTGCCGGGTTTTCTCTGTCTTCCATTTCCATCGTTCCCATCCCCACTCTTTCACTCTTTGCTTTGTATGCCAATATTTTCTTTTTAACTTATTCTCCTAAATCTGCATGCCTGGTATCAGCCTATATGAATACTGACTGGATGTTTTTCCTTCTATTTCTGCTAATAACGTGTCTGTTTGTATGTGTGATGTTTTGACTTAAGAAGGAGAGACTGAAAGATGTTTCTGGCATTACTGAGGGTGTTGGTTTGCCTCAGCTGAGCTTTGGCGCTGTTGCCAACTTCCAGTTGCATATTATAAGTAGTGCTTCCAACTTTTCCTGCATCCATGTTGTCCAGAAGGAATCGTTGTCTTCACCGTCTGGTTTGCTGTTCTCGTTTTTGCTTTAATTAGCCCCGCCTGTCGTAGATTCTTAAGGTGGGGAATAACACACACTCCTCAATAAAGAAGAAACTTTATTTAAAGTGGACAGCTGCGCCTGTGTTTGCTTGTTGTGTGGAAGTAAATGAGAAGGAAGTCTTTGTGTCAAGGTAGCAGACTTTACTCAGAGAAAAGGAGAACAGGAGGGTGTAGTCATCTTTTTTCTGACTTCTGGAAAAAAAAATCTGTGAAACAGCCCCCCACTGCCTAAATAAGCCAAAAAAACAAAACAAAAAATCACCTGAACCTTGAGCCATCCTATTACAGCTACGATTGCATTATACTGCCAAATTTAGGACCTCAACATAAAAGGAGGCCAGATTATCAAAAGAAATGCTTGCATTTGCGGCTTTTTCATCTGGTTTCAGTGAAATCTCCCCCTTAATGTTTATATTTTAACACCAAGCTTTCCACTGCCCTGTAACAGGTTGCCAATAGCCTGACTGGATTTTTAAAATGCATTAGGCAGTTTTTTTCTATATAAAACATGAATTGAATGAGTCAGGTGGAGGCACCCTGTTCGTTGTGAGATCCGGTTCTGTTTGCCAAAAAGCTATCCAGAGAGACTGAGCTGCGATCAGTGGGAATGACAGGGAAGTCTATAAAGAGCTTTAAGGTGGAGGTTATAACAGTAGGAATAGGTTCATTTGATCCAGAAACAGTGGATCCCTCTCAGTGGATGGTAGTGACAAGAGAAAATGATGGAACATTGATTCAGGCTGTTGTTGGTAGTAGGTAGGTTCAGATTTCAGTCTTCAAGTCCACCAGGAGGAATCATGCATGTAAAAGGTCTGTAGGAGGCATCAGACGCCACTTCCTTTGAGAGTTAAGGAGGGATGTGTGATTGTAAATGTTTTCTTCTGTTTGTCTCCATTTTTATGTCCATCTGTTTTACTTTTCCTCTTTTGCATCTTTTTTAAATCTGTGTGAAGTGTTAGTTTAACGTCCTGATGTGCTCACAAGTTAGTTAAACGTGCTAGTTCTTGTGTAACTTTTCTAGCATTAGTACTTATAAGGGAGAGTAATGTAATTAACGATTAAAAGTCAAACAAAAAATGAATGAATTTACTTGTGTGGCTAACTTCCCTGTGTGATACAATGAACATCCTTAAAACGCAAACTGAAATATCAATAAAAGCTTAAGAGGAAGAGCTTGTCTTCTGTCTTTCTTTTAAAATGTCCAATATGCAACAATATTGTTTCTAATCATTGATTTATTTTTTATATATATTGAAGAAGAATATAAAATGCTACAATTCTTTATGAACTTAAAAAAGAAACAAGGTTTTACAAATCCCATTCACTTAATTGTGATCCCTAAAGTTATTTTCTCCTCCACCTTCTATGTGTGCTATAGTAGTTTTGGTTTCCTCACAAAGTAAAAAAGCAAAAAAAAAAAAAAAAAAAGGTCCTCACCGTCTTTTTAACTGTAAAAGGATTTTTTTCATGAGGAGAAAAATATTTTTTTGGAACAAGGTTGCAACTTAAACCATAATTCCTTCATTTTTAAGATTTCCTTATATTCTGCTACAATCAGACAAACAAATATGGTTAAAGGTATAAAAGGCATGAAAATAGAGCATAACATTAGTCTTTATGCAGATGATGTATTACTTTATCTCCAGCACTCAAACACTTGCCTCTCTCAAGTGATTAGTTTACTAGAATCTTTCTCAAAAGTCTCAGAATACTCTATAAATTGGTCTAAATCTATAATACTACAAATTAATTGCTCTCTACAGAATCCCTCAGGTCTACAATTACAATCAGGAAATATCAAATATTTGTGAATTACTGTGTCATCTAAACTAGCTGAGTTACCAAAACTCAACATCCCTCTTTTTAAAAGAATAGAAGAGGACCTAGAAAGATGGAAATTTCTTCTGATCTCCCTTGTGGGTAGGGTAGCATCAATTAAAATGATGGTCTTACCCAGAATTAACTACCTATTTTCAATGATCCCAAATAAACCATCACCCGAATGGTTTAAATCTCTAGATTCTTCCATCTCTAAATTTCTTTGGAAGGACAAACCCCCTCGTATCAGCTTAAAGACATTACAGAAAACTAAAGAGAGAGGGGGTCTAGATTTACCTAACTTCCAACACTACTACTTAGCAAATAGATTACAATAGATCTCTAAATGGATAAAACATAATGCCTTAGATGAGCCCTGGATAGACACAGAACAGTAAATATGCAGTAATATCATAATTTCAGATTTGCCGTTTATTAGCTCTAAGATCAAACGGCACCCATGTTTTAAAAATATTAACAGCTCTTCCCTGACAGCATGGTGGGAATTTCTAAAAATAACGAAGTCATCACTTATCCCGTGCAGTCGTACACCCATCTGGAATAACCCTGACATTCTACAAAACAATAATGTGATAAACTTTCCGTACTGGAAGAATAAAGGTATTACATATCTGGATCATTTATTTGAAGGTACGGAGTTTATCACATTTGCTAGATTAAATTTGCAATATGGCATTAACAAAAATAAATTCATAGAATATGAGCAAATTAAATCTATAATTAGAAATAAATTTAAGCATATTGATGGAGGTTTAAAAATTCCAACTAATATATCAGAGTTTCTAGACTTAAACCCCCCAAACTACTGTCTAAATTATACAGGACACTGACTAAACTGGATGATACAATATCTCTTCCTATTACTAAATGGGAGGAGGATTTATCAGTCAGCTTTGAACAACACATCTGGGCTCAGATATGTCTAAGAACTTTTAACATGACTAGAAACCCCAATTTACAATTAATACAATACAAAATCCTCCACAGAGTGCACTATACAGGTCAAAGATTATTCAAGATGGGTTTTGCGCAATCTAACGTCTGTCCACAGTGCACATGCAATCAACTTGATAATTATTTTCACGCGTTATGGTTATGCATGCCGGTTCAGAGATTCTGGGTACAGGTATGTAAGGATCTATCACTGTGCCTGGGTTGTAAAATCCCACTTTACCCTCCAGTATGCTTGCTGGGTGACTTTGAGGGAAGCTCTATGGAAAAAAAATCAGTTTGCATGGCCTTCACTGCATTATGTATCGCAAAGAAAACTACCCTCATGAATTGGAAAAGTAAATTTCTAAAAGTAGAATGGGAGGCAGATCTTTTAGTTATCAGGCTCCTCTCCTGTGGAACCAACTACCAGTTTTAGTCCGTGAGGCAGACACCCTGTCTACTTTTAAGGCTAGGCTTAAAACTTTCCTTTTTGATAAAGCTTATAGTTAGAGTGGCTCAGGTTATCCTGAGCTATCTCTATAGTTATGCTGCTATAGGCTTAGACTTTTGGAGGACATAGGGACCCCCATTTCATCATTCTGCTTCATTCTCTCTCTGTTCTCCTATTCTGCAGAATCTGTTAGTTCAATCTCTAACCTTCTGCTCTCTCTGCTTTTCCTCAGAGTAGCTTTGCCTCGTCTGTTCCTGTTTGGCTGTGACGTCATCCTGGAAAGAAACATCAGCTGTGCTGCTTCTATCAACACCCTTGTTTATAGATGTTGGAGATCGGCCTGTTTTCCAGTGTGGTCCTGTTTCTCTGACCGTGACTGAGTGGATGTGCTTTCTTCGTCCTCTGGCATGGGAGCTGCCTTGGAGCTCGTCTGCCTGGCTGTGTGTTTCCTGGACGGGGCCGCCTTTTACAGCTGCTTTTTGTATCTCTGCTTCTGTCTCCTTGAACCCCAGTCGGCCTCGGCAGATGGCCGCTCACACTGAGCCTGGTTCTGCTGGAGGTTTCTTCCTGTTAAAAGGGAGTTTTTCCTCTCCACTGTCGCTACAAGCATGCTTAGTGTGGGGGATTGTATTTGAGTCAATGAGTCAATGCAATCAACTGGTTTTCCTTAGATAGAAAACTTTGTATCAATTTGATCTGGTTGAACTGTAAAGTGCCTTGAGATGACATGTGTTGTGAATTTGGCGCTATATAAATAAACTGAATTGAATTGAATTAAAGATAAACTCAACATCAATCAGTACAGAGATCTGTTGTTGGATCATATTAATCTTGAGACAGCATCTGCATCCCAATCAGACCGATCTCTCTGGGCTCCCTTGATCAGCTCCATCACCTAGTGTAGTGGGGGGCTGTAGGGTGCGTTCTATTGGGCGCGGGGGCTGGTTGGGGCATCCTGGGGGGCTCGGGAGGGCGCTCGGAGTGGGGTAGCTGGCGGGTCTAGCCCTGGGGTCTGTTGCTGGATGGAAACTGTGCTGCTGCTGGGTGGGGCTGGACGCTGGGCATCGGTTCTTTTGTGGTGCCGGCCGGGGTGCTTCGGTTCTGCAGGGTGTTGGGGCGTGCCTCGTCTTTCGGTGCCAGGTTTTGGTGGTTGTGGGCTGGTTGCGGGCGTCGTGGGGCCCCTTTGGGATGCCCCCCGGGTCGGGGGTGTGGCTTTGCTTTGTTGGGACAGGTGCCGGTGGTGCGCAGTGCGGTGCATCATGCGCTGGGGCGGTTTGGAAGTGGAGGGTTGCTTGGTGTTTGGTGGCGGGGGGGGGGGCGGGTCGCGACCGGTGTGGCCGTCCTCCTCTCGGCGGCCCGTGGACGGTGCAGGGCCGGGGCGTGGTGGGTCGTGCTGCTTTCGCGCCGGGCACGGCAGGATCGGCGGGGTCGCGTCTGTTGCTTTGTTTTAGCTGCTTGTGCCGGATTCTGACGCACGGCTGGGGCAGCTTTGCTGCTCTGTCCTTGCGGCTGTGTTTGCTGTGATCGGTGGGAGTGGAGTGGTTTCGTTGTGTTTTTGGGTGGGGGAATCCGCTTGGGGGCTTGGTTGGTGCCGGTGGTTCATCCATATCGGCCTTCCGGTGTTGTTTCTGTCGGGGACGCTCAGACCCCCATGTGCCAGCGGTGCGCTGTCGGTGGGGTTCCCGTTCGGCGGCTTGTTTGTCTCCTGGGAGGGCAGGCATGTTGATTTTTTTTGGGGAGGAGCGGCTGGGGGGAGGGGTCCTCGCGCTGTGGCGGTGGGTGTTGGACACTGACTTGTTTTCGGCTGCTCTTCTTCAATGAGGGGGATTTTTTTTGTGGGAGGGGGGGTGTGAGCGGGGGAATGGGGCTCAGGATTTGTGCTTTGCTGTGTTGTGTGGCTTTCTTCTTCTTCGAAAATGGTGTTTTAGGAATTGTATTGGGGGATGGTCGTTTGGGGGCCTGTGTCAGGGTGGGGGTGTTGGTGCCGGCGCCGGGGGCTTTTGGGCCATGCCCAGCCCTGCTGTTGGGTGGGTGGAGTAGCTCCGACCGGCGCGCGTCGGGGGGCTGGGCCGGCGGAGGGGGCTGGGGGTGGGGGGGGTGTGCGCGACTGTGCTGCTCTGGCTTCGTTCGGTGGGGGGAGCGGTGTGGTTCGCTCCACTCTGGCTTTGTACTGCCCGCGGGCTGCTGGGAGGGGGGTGGTTGCGCCGGCTGTGGTCTGCTCTTCTTGCAGTCGGGCGCCGGGTGGTTTTTTCGCTCTCTGGTTGTTTCTGTGCGCGGTGTTTTGCGTTGCGCGCTGTTGGCATCGGTCTTGGTGGGGTGGGGCTGCGCTTTTGGCCTGGGGGCTTTTTGGGGGGGTTCCGCGGCACTCGCGGCTGGTTCATGGCGGATGCGCGTGGGCGCTGGCTGGGCATTTCCTTCGGTGCCGTGGGGGGGCCGGTGTTCAGTGCCCGGCCCTACTGCGGGGCCCCCGCAGTAGGGCTCCCTGGGGCGCCGGCATGGGGTTGGCTGGGGGGATTCTTCGGGGCTGTCTCTCCTCCTCCCTTGGTGGGGGTCTGATTTCCAGGGCTGGCCCCTCCTTGGTGCCTTCGCTCTTGGGGTCCCTTTGGGCGCCTGGGGCTTTGGGTCTCCCGGCGCTGGACTTGGTGCTCTGGGTGGTGTGCCTCTTCAGCTCTCCACAACCACTATTGAGCTTTTTTTTTTTTTTTTCTATGGATGAACTTTACATGCACAAGTACACCCTCACAAACAATTACAGGTGCTTGGCTCCAGGTACTCAGAGATTCACTTCCATACAGAAACCCCACATTCATATGTTCAGGTAACACAGAGTACATGTCAGACTTAATAATTTTACTTTAGCGATAGTTTCAAGGTGTTGCTTTATTCAGTGGCGCAAAACTGGGTATGCAGCGCATGCAACGCATAGGGGCGCTGCACTCGAGGGGGCGTCAAAAAACCCCTCTAGAAAATCATTTTTTGTTGTCATTTTCTATATTTAACAGCATAAGACGATCAATAAAAGAGAGACAGCACTAATTATGCGCTCCTGTCGCTCTCCCTTCCCACACAGGTGGCTTGTGCACACGCCCCTAAGAGGCGCACTCAGTCACGTTTTTTTTTTTTTTTTTTTTTATCTTCGACTAGCACAGCGCAAACACACTTAACAGCAAGATGGAGCGCCAGAAAAAAAAACTATCCGGGGCGCAAAACAGAAAAAGAAAAAGGGAGAAGGATAAAGATGTTGGCGGGATGAAAAAAAGCCTTTCATTGTGGTTGAAAGACAGTAGGTAAGTTCTGTCAGTGTATCGACAACAGGAGAGGAGGGTTGTAAATATTCAGGTCAGATAAAGCTAGTCTGATACGGAGTCGCCCCATATTTGGCTGTTAAATGTTGCGTCCCCTATTGAAGCGATAAGGAACGAGATTTGTTCCGTATTTCTAGGAATATCTGATACATACGCCTGTAACACACACATATCCACACACTAAGTGTAAGAATGACCGAAATAAAACTTGTGAAATACTATCACAGGAAAGCTAAAATGTCTTGGCCAGTGCCCAGCTGTGGTCCAACGCTCAGCTGCAATTTATTCACTCATATGTACATTTTTTATTTATTTATTTTTTTTATTAAAGATGAGTTGTACAAGTTTATGTGTGTATCAGACACGTTAATCCAGTGTCATAATAGCCCTTAGACTTGGTGACCCATGTTACCAACCTTTTTGGCAGGGGGACACTTGAGTTTAAATGTTTTATTCAGTATCACTACAGTGGTGTTGTGATGTATCTGATAAGTCAGATCAGATGCAGTGTCCAGTCAGTAACTGTTATCCAACAAGAAGATCATTCAAATTTAAATATTAATTTTTATTGTGGTTTGACTGCTGTATTTTTTAACCCTACTTAACATAAAATTAATTTAATTCAGCTTTGAGGATGGAGAGAAAGAAGAGAAGATGACAGAGGAAGAATCAGGACAGACAGGGGAAAGCAACAGGTTGGTCTAATTTTAGGTGGAAGTGAGGGAACAGCTACTTAATCCCAATCGATAATGTTTAAACATTATTTTTAAAAACTGTATTGAGATCTGTAATTTTAACAACTAATATATAATGCTTTTTGGCCATATGGCTTAGTGGAGAACGCCACAGACAAGAGGTGAAGGAGACAGACATGAGGTCGGTGATAGAAGAGACAAGTGAGGACATCAGGTAGGAATAAATACATTAGGGAGGCAGCAAAAACCTATATACCATAATGGTTTGAATTTCTGATGACCATCTCTCATTGTGTTCTTTTTAGGGAAAATTAGTACAGGCAAACATGAGTGAGTCAATCACCACAAAGGAGAATGTGGAACAGAAAGGTGCAGATGAGGGAGAGGAGCAGAGAGGACCAGATGATGAAGAAGAGGGAGAGGAGCAAAGAGCTGCAGAGGAGAGTGCTGAGGCAAGGGTTTATTCAGAAGATCCATCTGAATGGCCTTTAACCCACACAAAATGGGGGACATATTTAGGCAGTACATGGTTGAAAATGGACCACCGAAAGTTTCTGATGGCCCATATCCAAGAGCAGAGAAGAGGTGTTTTTCCAGATGATACTGTTTTCGTTTACGGTCTAATGGAGAGAAAGTTGAATGAGATTGGTTACTGTACTCCAAAAATACTAACAAAGTCTATTGTTTTGCTTGTAAGCTTTTTGGTGAAGCTAAAGTTCTTACACTAAGGGGGAAAAATTCTCAGTTAGGAAATCCTAAAAATGGAAATTTTCTGGGAATCCTTGAGCTCATAGCATGATATGATGTCACACTGGCAGGACATCTTAGAAAGGCTGCCTCCAAACAAACCACTGGCTATCTGACATGGTGCACTCAGAATGAATTTTTATATTCAATATCAGAGTGCATTTTGGGTAAAATATCTGCCCATATCAGAGCCTCAAAGTACTTTGCAGTGGAACTGGACTGCACACCTGATATTTCAAAGCTAGAGCAGGCCTCAGTCATCATTCGATATATTAATACAGATGAGAAGAAAAAAGTCACTATTGCAGAGTCTTTTGTGGGTTTCACTGCTGTGAAGGACACAATTGGAAAAGGCCTCACACATGCACTAACAGGGGTACTGGAGAATCTGGGGTTGGATTTGGCTAATTGTAGAGGGCAAAGTTACGACAATGGCTCTCATATGAGGGGAATAAACAAGGGTGTTCAAGCTTTAATACAACAGAGATGTCCAGAGGCTCTATTTTTCCCCTGCTGTAGCCACAGCCTAAACCTTTTGTTATGTGATGCAGCCTCATCTAGCAGAGAGTGTCTAACTTTCTTTGGCACTGTTCAAAGATTGTACACAATCTTTTCATCTTTTGTGAAGAGGTGGGACATTCTCACAGAGTTGACACCAGGTGGGAAGCAAAGCTAGACTGTCAAAGCTATACATTTCCAGATGGGGGGGATTTTAGATGCACTACAAAAGCTTGGAGAAGTGGCAGGAGACAGCAAAATTGTCTCAGAGGCAAAGTCACTGTCTGATGAGATTGTTAGTATGGAGTTCCTTGTGTGCCGCATAGTTTGGTATGACTTATTATGTGAGATCAACTTTGCAAGCAAGGCACTACAAGCAGCAGATGTGTCAATGGACACAGCCATTAGGCTAATCGAATCTCTGAAAGAGTTTTTGCTGAAGTATAGAGAAGAGGGCTTTCAGAAGTCACTCTACATTGCAGGCAAGATAGCCGTCGAAATGGATGCTTCTCCTGAATTCAAAGGGAAATGACTTAGGAAGCAAAAGAAGTTCCCAGATGACAATTCATGCACTGGTCATCATGAAAAGGAACCCACAAGACACTTCAGGTGCATGGTTTTCAATGTTATTGTTGACACACTCCTGCAAGAGCTGTCTGAGAGGTTTTCCAATTTTCAACTTGTGGCAGAGAAATTTAAATTTATCACTAAAATGGAACACATGACAAAAGTTGAGCTTGAAGAATCAGTGACAACTTATGCCCTGACCACCTGTGATGTTTCAATATATATCATTCAAGAAATATACCCAGCAAGCCGTCTACTGAAAGGTTACAAGGCTCTAGAAAAGTTAAATTTCCTCATTCAAGAGAACCTTGATTTGGTATTTCCAAATTTGACAGTAGCCCTTAGAATATTTTTAACTATGCCTCTGACAGTTGCATCTGCGGAGAGATCATTTAGCAAGCTGAAGCTTATCAAAACATACCTTCGTTCAAATATGAGCAACGATCGTGTAGAGGTTTAATCTTGGTGAGACCGCAAAGAAAGTGCTGTTTCTTATGCTGATATTCTCCGAACCAAAGTTACAGTTTCCACTGTGATTGTCCATGTACTTGAAATAAATCCACTCCACAACATCTTGAAGATGAAAATTGAAGTTTAGTGTTCTTCTTAAAGCCTATAAAACGTACATGAATTAACAAAAATATATTATGATGAAAATAAAAGGGTTTAAAGTCTGTCATAAAGTTGAAGAGCAACAGGTAAGAAGACTTTTCGCTTCCACGGTTCCATGCAATCTAAAAATAAACATGCGAGATGCTGAGGAAGCCGGCTCGTCCATCCTTAAAGCGACAGTACACATTTTTTAATCCAAAATCCAAGTAACCTTATAAACATGAATTCTTATTCTTTTAACTTTGTACATAAAATATTTATCATTTTTATCATGAAGTATATCCATCTATCAAATTAGAAATTCAAATTAAATTATTATCTATCTTTTTAAGCATTCTTAAGCAATTTCTATTTATTTAAACTAAAAGTCCACTTTGGCGGCGACATACCCGGCCCCTAATTGCTTTCTATCCTAGAAACAATTACAAAAAAAAGAAGTAATACTCAACAGTCCTTTTCAGCCTGCTTCTTGAAGCAGGCAGAGTTTGGTGATCAGCTGCTCAAGTTTGTTCGTCTTCGTCTTGACTCGAACCTTGCGGACGATTCCATGCTCATCCACCACAATCTTCACAATTCTGCCCATCAACCATGATCCTCGGGGGGCTGATTCATCAACGATCAAGACTACATATCCTTGGCTGAAGTTACGCATTGGATGGTTCCATTTCTGTCTTTTCTGGAGTTGAGGCAGGTATTCTCTGGTCCAGCGTTTCCAGAACAGATCGCTCATGTACTGGACTTGCCTCCATCTCTTGCGTGCATAAGCATCGTCCTTGTTGAAGACTCCTGGTGGTAGGTTGGGGTTAGTCTTGAGCAAGAGTAAGTGTTGTGGGGTAAGAGCTTCTAGATCATTAATGTCATTGGATGGCGTAGTGATAGGCCTACTGTTCAAAATGGCTTCACATTCGCAGAAGAACGTTTGAAGACTTTCCTCGTCCAAGCTTTGTTCTCTCAAGGTAGCATTCATGATCTTCCTGATTGAACGAATCATCCTTTCCCAAACTCCTCCATGGTGGGATCCGGATGGTGGATTGAACATCCACTTGATCTCGCGTTGAAGCAGGCTGTTCTCTATCTGTGCAGCATTCCACTCCTTTATTGCCTTCTTCAGCTCATGGTCAGCTCCAACAAAGTTGGTCCCGTTGTCGGATCTCATTTCTTTCACCTGACCCCTTCTTGCGATGAAGCGACGTAGAGCTTGAATAAAGGAGTCGGTCTCCAATGATGTTGCCATTTCGATGTGGACCGCAAGACATGCAAGACAGGTTAATATCACCCCGTATCTTTTGACAGACACTCTTCCCCGCTTGACGATAAATGGCCCGAACAGATCCACACCAGTTGTGGTGAAGGGTGGTTCGTTAGGTAGAACTCGGTTTCTTGGTAAGTGTGCCATCATTTGTGTGCCTGATGCATCATGTTGTCTTCGACAGGTAGTACACCGAGACAGCATTCTTCGGATTGACGAGGGAGCATCGATGATCCAAAAAGCTTTGGCGCATGTGAGACAGGACGTGATTACGTCCACTGTGCCCTAGGCACTCATGTGCATCCTGGAGAATCAAGTCTGCCACGTAATGGTTCTTGGGAATGATCATTGGATGCTTGGCTTCGGCTGGCATGGATGCTTGGCTAAGCCTCCCTCCAACGCGAAGGATTCCCTCCTCAAGCTGTGGATTGAGTTTGAAGAGTCGACTACTCTTCCTGACGGAGTCCTTCCTTTGGAGTGCAGATATCTCCTCTTGGAAGCTATTGTTTTGGCAATGACCAATGATGTCGATCTCCGCTTTTTGTAAGTCATCCACGGTAAGGTGAGTATGTTTGAGACTCCTTTTGTAGCTCAGCATCTCCTTGTTCAACTGTTGTTCATCACTGCACAATCCTTTCAACTCTTTTCTCTTCCTAGACAGATTCAACAGGGTGTGCTTGAGTCGTGTGAACCACGCTACAGCCTTCTTGAGCCGTATCCATGAAGAGAAGTAGTGGATTAATTGCTGCATGGCATCAGTGCTTTCTACTGTGGTAGCATTAACCAGAATACTTTTCTTCACCTCAGGATCCTCAGCCATGAGCTCTTCTTGGAGTTCGGGGTTAACTGGCCACTCTCCTTCTGGTTTACATAGGAAGCCAGGACCAGCAATCCAGACGTCGTTCTTGATGAAGGCGCTCACGGCTTGACCCCTTGATGCGCAATCGGCAGGATTCAACTTAGTGTTGACATAGCTCCATTGATGCACGTTTGATGCTTGCAGGATTATGGCGATCCCGTTTGCAACAAAGGTCTTAAACCTGATGTTCTCATTGGCTAAGTACTTGAGTACTGCAGTACTGTCTGTCCAAAACTTGGATTCTGTCAGTGGCAACTGAAGCTCCTTCTTCAGCATAACATCCACTTTCACAGCTAAGGCAGCCGCCGTCAGCTCCAACCGCGGGATGGTAGTTGGTTTCAGAGGGGCGACCCTGGCCTTCCCCAGGACAAATGAACAGTGTACATGGTTACTGCTATTCTTCTGGACAAAGTATGTGACAGTACCGTAGCCAGTTTCACATGCGTCACAAAAGTGATGCAATTGAGCCTGCACAGCTTTGCCAAATTCAGGTGGCTTGAAGCATCGTATTACTTCAAAGTCAGTGAGCTGTTTGAGTTCTTCAGTCCACTTGGTCCATTGTTGTGCGAGGTGTTCTGGCACGGTGTCATCCCAGCCTGTTCTTTGTCTACACAATTCTTGCAGGATGTTTCTTGCAGGTAGTATGACTGGCGACAACATTCCGAGCGGATCGTAGACTGAGCTCATTGTTGACAGGATTCCTCTCCTGTTGAGAGGCTTCTGCTTGATATTGACTTGAAATTTGAATTGATCTGACCGGATACACCACTGTACTCCCAAGGCTCTCTTGATGGTGAGTGAGTCCTGGTCGAGATCGAGATCTATGACTTCCGTCGCTCAGTCTTCAAGTGGAATGGTTAACAGAACATTTCGACTGTTAGTCGTCCATTTTGTGAGTCTAAAGCCTCCTGTTTGACAGATGGCTGTCAAGTCGTGCAGTAACTTGATGGCTTCCTTTTCCAAGTTGACAGATTTTAGACAATTGTCGACGTAAAAATTGTTTAACACTGTCTCCACAGCTGTTGCATCGAATGTACTCCTGTTGTCCTCGGCACACCTTCTTAGTGCATAGCTTGCGCAGCTGGGTGAGGAGGTGGCTCCGAACAAGTGTACCTCCATTCTATATTCTTGCAGCTCCTCCGATATGTCTCCATCAGGCCACCATAAAAACCTGAGAAGGTCTGCGTCTTCAGGTGGGACCCTGACCTGGTGGAACATGGACTCTACATCGGCCATGAGTGCGATTGGCTCCTGACGAAATTGCGTTAAGACACCAACCAGGCTGCTGGTCATGTCAGGGCCTTGCAGTAGCTGCTCATTGAGTGTGGTTCCTTGATATGAAGCACCGCAGTCGAATACCACTCGAAGTTTGTGCTTCTTGGGGTGGTAGACGGCATGATGCGGAATAAACCACACCTTTCCGTCACTCCTTTTCAGTTCTTCATCTGGGACTTTGACCGCGTATCCCTTGCTGATCACTTGGTTCATGAAGCTGACGTATTCCTCTCGGAATGTCTGACTTTTCTGAAGCTTCTTTTTCATGTTGAGCACCCGTTGCTCTGTCATTGCTCTATTATTAGGCATTTTCATGTCTTTGTTCTTCAATGGCAAACCGATAGAGTAGTGACCATTGATCAGCTTTGTGGATGTGGTAACTCTGTCCATAAACAGTTGATCTTCCTTCGACATCTCAGGCCACTCTCCTCTAGCATTCTCAGGAAAATCATACTTGAATTGTTGCGTCCACAATTCTTCAAGTCGAGCCACCGATATCCGGTTCATTTGGATCTGTGGGTGTCCCTCCTTTGACCAGCTCCTGATGCTTTCATTCAACGGCCCATTCACGGTCCACCCCAAGACTGTTAGAACCGCATATGGACCATCTTTCACGCTGCAGATTACCTCTTCTGGCTCCAAAGCCTTTGCGATGTCAGTCCCAATCAGAAGATCGATATCCGCCTTAATTGATGGAATTCGTACACCTCGTAAGTGTGGCCACCTATCCACGTCTTCTTGAGTTGGAATGTTCTCCTGACTAGCAGGTATGGCCTTTTGTGTGAATACACCATTGAGCTCGACGAAGTCTTCCCCGTCCAGACTGCTGACTTCTAGATCTGGTAGCAGTTTGCATGAGACTGCCTTTTGGTCTCCCATGGTGGTAAGTAGGATGTTAACATTTGTTCCTTGCAAGTTAAGGTTGTTAGCTAGCTTGTTAGTGCAAAAGGAGGCGTTGCTGCCTGGATCCAGGAACGCATAGCAAGTCAGCACCTTGTCACCTTTCTTTGCCATCACTCTCACTGGAACGATGGCAAGGATGGTCCCTGTACCCCCGGCCCCAGTCTGAGGGCAAGTTTCTCCAGCATCCACAAATCCACTGATCACAGTTTGTTCTTCCTGTGAAGACTCCTCCTTTTGTTCCTCCCGTGAAGCGTTTTCTTTTGGTAAGTCTTTAGGTTTCTGCTTTATGTGTAACAGCGTAGGTTGTTTAGCTGAACACAACTCACAGCTCCTCTTTTCTTCACAGCTACTGCTCATGTGTCCTCCTATAAGACAGCTGAAGCAGAGTCCCTTGCTTTTAAGGAATTCCAACTTTTCTTTGTGCAACTTTTTCTGAAGTTTCCTGCACTGTTCCATTGTATGATCACCCTGACAGAAGATACAAGGTTCATGTTTGGTTTCTTCTCTTTAGCTTGCTTGCTGTCAGCACCAGCAACATGTTTCACTGCTTTCTGTTCTTTAGCCTCAGTGGCTAACGCTGTGATATTTTTCTTGACAGCTGGCTTTTCAGGTTGACGCTTAGTCTGACCTGAGATTTCACCAAACACAGGGTGTGCTGCCATTTCAGCCTGTTTGGTAACGAATGACACCACGTCTTTAAACTTTGTTCTACGATCTTTTTTCTGAATGTCAATGGCGAAGCTCCTGAATTTCTCCCTCAGCCTTTAAGGAAGCTTGGAGATGACTGTGCGCATGTTTGCAGCGTTCTCCATCTCATCCAAGTACTCGAAGTCCGACATCGCATTGTTACAATTAGTCAGAAAAAGAGCATATGCTTCAAGTGCTCTAGCATCATCTGACTTTATAGTAGGCCAATTTAGAGCTTTGTCAAGGTATGCCATTGAGATCTTGTATTTGTCACCAAAGCGCTCCTTTAATAATTTCTTTGCTTCAGGATAGCCCTGGTCTGGGTCCATATGAAAACAACTGCGCACTCATTAGGCTGACCACTTGTGTGCTTTTCCAAATAGTAAAGCCTATCTTTGCTGTTTTCAGTTTTGCTCTCTATGCGATGCTCAAAAGCTCTCATGAAGAGACGGTATTCCATCGGATCTCCTTTAAAAACTGGAATGTTTGGTGATGGCAATGTAGATAGCCTTTGTTGCATTATTAAGCTCTCAGTTATTTCGTTTTGACGTTGCATGACAGAAACTAGGTTATCTGCATCTGCTGAATTGCCCTTTGAAGTGACATGCACTTGTCTTGTTACAGGCACTAATCGTGCAGCAGACGCAGACACTGGCTGTGCAACAGGCACTGCATTGACAGCTATTTCACTATGGCTGTGTTGAGATACATAACTAGCCCCACTATTCCTATTGTAGCTCAGATGTTGTCTCCGAGTAGCCATCAGTGATTCCACTCTACTGCCTTTAGAGCCTTGTGACACACGTGAGCCTTCTTCATACTTTCTTAGCACGGCTAATTTTGCATCTGACTCATCAAGCTCTGCTTGCAACTCCAATTCTTCTTTCGCAGCTTTGAGCTGTTGCTCCTGTTCCTTAAGCTGCATCTCATGCTCCTCCAGAGCTCTTTTTTGTTTCAATGTAGCTGCTTTATTTAACAGCGTAGCTTGCTCTAATTCAACTTTTAGCCGTTCAGCACGAACTGCTGATATCACAGAAGCAGAGGAGACAGACCTAGCTTTTTTACTCCTTCTGGATGTAGCTGAAGCGCTATCTTCAGGATTCACTTCATTGTTCACCCTTTTAGACACTTCTATGCGAAGCATCGCATCCTGCATCCATGAATTAACTTCTTGCACAAAATTACTGTGCTCATCATATCTTGGCTGAAACCAATCACTTTGATCTGCCTTCATGTTTTCTAGACATCCAAGCTGACAGTACAGATCTTTGACATCAGCATTTATTTTACTGAATTCTTCTATTAGCTCTTCATACCTGTTTAACAGTTCCTGTGTTATAATTTCCGCGTTTGCATCTTCATCCATTAAAGCAAGGATTTCCTGTCTTTTCTCAGTTAATTTGCCTTGCTTGGCTCTTCTGGAACTGATTTTTGTTTGCAAATTATTTTCAAATGACACATGTGTTGGTTTAACCAAACGTTTTTCCCCCGGAGGGCTTACCGTCTTTCCCTCTTCGTCTGTCATGATGCCTTTTTTTTTTTTTTTTGAAAGTCAGTCCAGTTTTTATTTTATTTTATTCCACTTGCGAAGTTCCCGTAGCAGTCACTAGCCAGTTGTCCACTCACCAGTCACCAATGCAGTGCGTGATCATGCTGCTTCAGAATTCCCTCGGTAAATCTCTTGATTAAATCTTCTTTCCACCTTCAGAAAATCTCTCCAATGTTTGTAATCCAATGTCAAGCAAGTCTTCTTACTAATGTAGAGGTTTAATCTTGGTGAGACCGCAAGGAAAGTGCTGTTTCTTACGCTGATATTCTCCGAACCAAAGTTACAGTTTCCACTGTGATTGTCCATGTACTTGAAATAAATCCACTCCACAATGTCTTGAAGATGAAAACTGAAGTTTAGTGTTCTTCTTAAAGCTTACAAAACGTACATGAATTAACAAAAATATCTTATGATGAAAATAAAAGGGTTTAAAGTCTGTCATAAAGTTGAAGAGCAACAGGTAAGAAGACCTTATAAACATGAATTCTTATTCTTTTAACTTTGTACATAAAATATTTATCATTTTTATCATGAAATATATCCATCTATCAAATTCGAAATTCAAATTAAATTATTATCTATCTTTTTAAGCATTCTTAAGCAATTTCTATTTATTTAAACTAAAAGTCCACTTTGGCCGCTACAGATCACTTGTCCCAGTTAGCAGTGATCTCTATTGAAAACAGTGTGGCATGGTCTATTTCATTTGATGCTATTATTGATAAATGGGCAAGTGCAAAGTCACGGAATGTATCAGTTTAAATGTCATAAATGTTAAAACTGATTTCCGCTACAGAAAATATTGAGCACTCAGTGCCACTACTGTTATATACGCCGATAATGTGTTTTCGCATCCACCTCAAAAATATGTAGTTGCGCCCCTGGCTTTATTGTATTGTACCATGTCTTTATGTTGTGCTGTTCTTTTTTCATCTCGTTACAGGTGATGAAGCAGACTGAAAATGTTTTGTCATTATCTCCTTTCTTTCTCTTCTTTCTTTCATCTTTTCTCTTTTTTTTTTCTTTTTTCCTTTTCTTCTTCTGTTTCTCTGCTCTATTTACATTGCAGTGTCCATATAATCTGTAAAACTCCCTGCATACTTATAATAGAGCAATTTATATGCATGAAACAAGTGGAGCAGTATGTCAGGGTTAGTTGTGGTTTAGGACCCAAATGCAGAGGCAGAGAGGCTGAGGTGATTTCTTGTGGATTTAATCGAAGGAAAAACCGGCCGTGGGGCCGGAGTCGAAGCAGTGTCTCTGGAGGCCGGCC